TGGGCATGTTGCAAGGAGGGACTGTTCCTTGGAGAGGGACATCATGTTTGGCAGAGTGGAGGGGCAGCGAAGGAGAGGAAGACCTTTGATGAGATGGATCGATTCTGTGACTGGAGCGGTGGGAATAAGTGCATTTGAGATGGCTAGGTTGGCATAGGATAGAAAAGCATTTAGGGCTCTTGTACATAGGATTGCTATGAGTCCCAAGCGACTCGATGGCACATAATAACAAGAACAGACATGGTAAGAAACTACACTGTAATCCCAAACGCACTTTGTTAAATCCACCAGCTACTCTACAAAAGAAGGATGCAATTAACTCCCTGCAATTAACTGTCTGAAAACCTGCCGGGGGATCATCTATGGGTAGGTTCCGTCTTGAAGGGACACAACAACACATGGCTCTGGTAGTTTAGTGGTAAGAAGCTGCACATAACAACATATGACCTCACATCTGCTCTTCACAAAACTCTGAGAGATGCTTATTATTATCCTCATACAAAGGAGGGCAAATCACCTTAGGACAGTACACACTCTGCCAGAGTACACAGAGCTTAGAAGGAGGAGAGCCGAGTTGAAATACCTTTTATTGGCTCCAAAACCTCACTTTCCCCACTCCATCCAGACAATTTCTGCCTCCATCGTTATGTAAATTTTCCTAAGGTATAGCACTTAGGGTTCTGCCAGAAAAACAGAACCAGTAGGAGAGAAAGAGAGAAATAAAGAGATTTCTTGCGAGGGATTTGTTTACATGGTTGCAGGTTATGGTTAGACAAGCCTGTAACCCTCAGAAATGATTGGAAACTCTCAGGCTGAAAGTCAACATTGCAGGCCACCAGCACAATGTCTTCTTCATCTTCAAGGAAGCATCCATTCCCTTCTCAAAGCCTTTCAACTGATTGGATCAGGTTCACCCAGTCTACCTTGATAATCTCCTTTACACAAAGTCAACTGACTGATGGTGTTAATCATGTCTATAAAATACTGTAACACCTAGGTTTATAGCCTAAATAACTCAAACTCAATTCATTGCCAATTCATAGCTATTGGATTTCTGACACTATAAATTACACAAGAGGGACTGCCCAACTTTCTTCAGCAGAGCAACTGCTAGATTCAACCCATCCTAGGAGGCATGGCCTTTGGCTTACCAGCACAACATCCTATGGACTACTCAACCAGAGCTCCCTAGCCTAATCAAGGTGACACACAAATAGGACTATTACAGAAATTAAAAAAAAAGAAAACAACAAAAAAATTAAACTTATTGCCATTGAATCAACCCCAAATCGAGGTGACTCTACATGGCAGAACCATTGCATAGGGTTTTCAATGTCTTTTCTTCCAAGCACTGCTTGGAAGGATTTGAACCATAACCTTTCAGTAACTAGCTCAACTGTTTGAATCTTCCAGGAGGCTATATGACTGTAACAAAATTAGAGACTAGAATCAGAAAGCTTTGTTGTTGTTATGTGCCGTCGAGTCGCCTGCAACTCATAGCAACCCTATGTACAACAGCCCTAAACCCCGCTCTATCCTGTGCCAATCACATTTCCTCTGACACACCCATCCTGATTGCCCCTGTCACTGAATCAATCCACCTCATAGAGGGTCTTCCCCTCCTGCCTCGTCCCTCTACTCTACCCAGCATGATGTCCCTCCCCAAAGACCTGTCTCTCCTTGCAACATGTCCAAATTATGTCAGACGAAGCCCCAGAATCTTTGCCTCCAAGGAGTAACCTGGTTTAACCCTCTCTAGGATGAATCTGTTTGTTTTTTTGGCAGTCCATGGTACATTCAATACTCTTCTCCAGCACCGCAACTCAAAGGCATCAATTCTCCTTCTGTCCTCCCTAGTCATTGTCCAGTTCTCTGACGCATAACAAGTGATTGCAAAGACCATGGCCTGTATCAGGCTTACCTTCGTCTCCAAAGAGACACCGTTGCTCTTGAGTACTTTAGAGAGGTCCCTAACAGCAGACTTTCCCATCGCAATACGTTTTTTTTTATTTCCTGGCTGCTGGTGCCAAGAGTGTTGACTGTGGAGCCAAGCAAACTGAAGCTGTGAACAATCTCAATCTCTTCACCATACATCCTGATGCTACCAATTGGTCCAGTGGTGAGAATCTTTGTCTTCTTGACATTGAGCCTCAGTCCATACTGAAAGGTGCAGTCCTTGACCCTCTGCAGTAAGTGCATGAGGTCCTCCTCAGTTTCAGCGAGCAGGGTTGTGTCATCTGCATAACGCAGATTGTTGATAGATCTTCCACCAATCCTAACGCCACGCGTCTCCTCATAGAACACAGCCTCTCGGATAATCTGCTCTGCATAGAGGTTGAAAAGGTATGGAGATAGGACACATCCTTGACGCACAGCCTTCCGAATTTTGAACCATTCAGTGTTGCCCTGCTCTGTTCTGACGACTGCCTCTTGGTCCAAGTATAGGTTTCGCATTAGCACGATTAAATGTTCTGGGATTCTCATTCTTCTCAGAGTCAGCCACAGTTTGTTATGATCCACACAGTCAAATGCCTTTGCATAATCAATGAAACACAGGTAGACATTCTTCTGGTATTCTCTGCTTTCAGCTAAGATCCATCTAACATCAGCAACAATATCCCTAGTACTACGACCCCTTCTAAACCCAGCCTGGACTTCTGGCAGTTCTCTGTTGATGTACTGTTCCAGTCGCTTTTGGATACTCTTCAGTAGAATCTTGCTTGCATGTGAAATCAGTGATATTGTTCTGTAGTTTCCACACTCAGTTGGGTCACCCTTCTTTGGAATGGGAACAAATATCGATCTCTTCCAGTCAGTTGGCCAAGTGGTTGTTCTCCAGATTTCTTGGCACAACTTGGTGAGCACATCCAGGGCAGCATCTGTTAGCTGAAATATGTCAATCAGTATACCATCTATTCCGGGGGCCTCATTTTTTGCTATTTCCTTCAAAGCAGCTTGAATTTCTGCCTTCATCACCGTAGGCTCTTAGATAATAGATATTATTTACACAAGAATAGGCAGGACTGATAATAGTTAGATTTTGGTATGGTAATGGTAATGGCTCTGCTAAAGATGTAGGTTGATTTGTTCTGCTACAGCAAAAGTTGTGCTGTGAATAGCCACATGTGATCACCTAAAGTAAATGAGGTTGGAAGGAAGTGATAATACCAGTGAGGGTGGTCATAGTGGGGTAGAAACAACTCAAAGCCTAGAATGGACTTTCCTTGCTTCCAGTGTTTATGAACTCTTTTGTGGTAAGTGATGGGTCATTGTGCTTGGAACAAAGCAAAAGAAGAACCAGCTTATCCCTGGTTTAGATGGACAAATTATATAAAAATTCTAATATTCCTCTATTTCTGACCAAATTTTACCTGGTTTAATTTAACAAATAGCAGTCTGAATTGTGGATTCTTTTCCCGTTAATTATATGCACTTAGGTTCCAATGGCTTTGGAAAGACCAGGGGACATTGCACACATCTTCCTGAATTTTGTTTTGGCTTGCTTAGGCTGTGGTTTGTTTCTTCAGTCTATCTTACTACCACCGCCACGATCTTTGTGGGCGCCCAGGACCCTCTCTCTACACACCACACTAACTGGGCTGTCTACTCACAGCCCATACTTAATGAAATCTTTCTCCTTTTCAGATGCCTACACAGAAGATGATCTCATGTTATACTGGAAAAAAGGCAATGATTCCTTGAAGACAGATGAGCGGATCTCCCTCTCACAGTTTCTCATTCAAGAATTCCACACCACCACCAAGTTGGCTTTCTATAGCAGCACAGGTGAATGTGAGGTGGGGCTGAGGACTTTAGGAAAGGTGTGAACTGATCCTCAAGTAACCAGAGGTCATTTTCCATCTGAATATGAAACAAAGTCAGGAATCCTAGATGAAATTGAGAAGGTGTTAAGCAGTGAGAGAGATTTTTTTTTTAGAATCGTAAAATACACGTATAACATAACAGTTGCCAATTTGACATAATTAATATGTACAAATCAGTAAAATTTATTATGTTCATCATATTATGCAACCAATAGGAGGCTGGGTGTGTTGTTTTTAAAAAAAAATATCACCAAAACATCAGAAGTGAGGACTTAGAAAATATTAGTATGGATCAAACTTTTGCCATGTGATTAGGCTTCAGACAATCACAATGAAATTTGGCATTGTTGAACTGACAACCGGTAACCCCTCCCCTATAACCAAGAAATGATTCTGTTATGGATTGAAATGTGTCCACCTCCAATTACTATATACTTTAACTCCTTTACTCATAATCGTACTTGGGAGTGGGTTTTCTTTGCTGTGTCAATGAGGCAATGGTGTGGTACCCCATGGTAGTATCTTTGGAGTTATTAAAAGGGCATAAAGAAGCCAGTAAAAGATGGGGATGATAGATGTTGCACCCTGTGAAAATCAACAAAGAATTGAAGAATAAAAGCTAAAGGGATAAGCACCTTCCTTCCACTAGAGCCGACAAAATAAGAAAAGCTTGATATAGAGCTGGCATGCTGAATTTAATCTTGTAGCTTTCTAAATTTTGAGAAAATAAATTTCTGTTTGTTAAAGCCATGTATTTGTGGTATTGCTTTTACAGCAGTACTAGATAACTTGTGTTGCAAACCCAAAGTGGGTGCCTCTCTGGTGTTTTGAATTCACCAGCTGTTTCGCAGGAAAAAGTTGGGAAACTTCCTCTCATGAGATGAATAGCCTCCTAAAGGCCTGCTGGAGGTCCAGATATGAGTCTGTTCCAATTGGACCACAATGAGTTTGAGATTTTTAGAGTTTGAAGATAAACTCCAGGGACCTCTGGTGGCCGAGTGGTAAGAAGCTGCACTGTAATCCCAAAGGCACATGGTTTGAATCCAACATCTGTCCTTTGAGAGAAGGGTGGACAAGCTCCTCTTGTACAATTTACTGCCTCTGAAAGCCTGCTGGAGAGCCATGTATGGGTTTGTTCTAACTCAACAGCACACAACATCAAGGTAAACTCCAAACTTAGATCTCTTTTTCATTCCCATCTCCCTGCCTTCAGCCAGCTGTGAGTTGCTCCACTCATAATCACCCCTCTCCTAGCTACTCTGTTTGCACAGCTCTTTTTTTAAATTTTTTTTTCTACAGAGGTTATGGATTTCCATTCATTCATTGCCGCAATTTTCTCCCTGCCCACCCCTCCCCACCAGCTCGCTTCCCCCTCCGAAGAGAGAGAGAAAAAAAAAAGAAAGAAAAAAAATTCCTTCATTAGTATACAATTCCCACGTCCCTTCCCCCCACCCCCCACCACAAGTACACTTCTCTATGCAACTTTAATGTATATTGTATTGAAACAGATGAGGGAAAGAACAGATTAGAAGTGATATATGATTGAGTATTATGGTTAGCACAGCTCTTTTTTATGGCCTTCCTCCAAGTGTAGGAACAATTGCTTATTTTCCTGTAGCTAACACTGTTCGCTCGTGAACCAAAAGCTTAGACTTACATGAGGACAGTCTTTGTGGTTCATTCCTTCAGACTGCCTGCCTGTGCTTTTCAATTAACTAATATTAACTCAAATGTTTGGGGAGCCCTGGTAGCCTAGTCCACAGAGAGTTGCTGCTAATCCTAAAGGGTCACCAGATACTCTGTGAGAGAAAAGTAGGCCATCTTCTCCCATCTGTTTTACAGCCTTGGAAACTCAATGGAGGGTAAATTATGAATTGGTTGTGACTTGATACTAAACTCTTTTTCGCCATTCAGGATGACTTTGCTTACACCGTTATACTATTTCTATTGCTAAAAATATTACACAATTGTCTGCTTAGGGCGGACAATATTTTGAGCTAATAATAACAGTCCAGGGGAACCAAAATTTGACCTTAAGTCTGTCCTACTTGAATTTTAAAACCATCTCAGGAACAGGTTTGTGGCCTTGAGCACCAATGAACGTAGAACAAATGAGCTCTGGGAGGATATCAAGAAAATTGTCCATGAAGAATGCAAAAGATCATTACAAAGGCTGAAAAAGAAGAAAAGACCAAGATGGATGTCAGATGAAACTCTGACTATTGCATTAGAGCACCGAGAAGCCAAAGCTAAAGGAAGAAACCAAGAAATCAAAGAGTTGAACTGAAAATTTCAAAAGGCAGCTCAGGACGACAAAGCAGAATACTATAATGAAAAACAACTATGAGATATCATCTCACCCCAGGCAGAATAGCAAAATTTAACAGAACAGCAACAAATGCTGGCAAGCTTGTGGAGAAACTGGAACCCTTATTCACTGTTGGTGGGAGTGTAAAATGGTGCAACCACTGTGGAAGGCGGTATGGCGCTTTCTCAAAAAGTTGCAAATAGAGATACCATTTGACCCAGCAATTCCACTACTGGGAATATACCCCAAAGAGACCATAACTGACATCCAAGCAGATATATATATATATGCTTTTATTGCGGCTCTGTTCACAATAGCAAGGAGTTGGAAACAACCTAAGTGCCCATCAACAAGCAAACAGTAACATTAATACCACCTGCAAGCAAGATTCTGTTGAAGATTATTAAAAAATAATTGGAGCAATATGCCAACAGAGAACTGCCAGATTTGCAGGCTGGATTTAGGAGAGGTCGGGGTATTAGGGATATAATAGCTAATGTTAGGTGCATCTTGGCAGAAAGCAAAGAATACCAGAAGAATGGCTTTCTGTGTTTCATCGACTATGCAAAGGCTTTTGACTGTGTGGATCACAACAAGTTGTGGCTGACTGAGAAGAATGAGAATCCCAGAACATTTGATTGTGCTAATGCGAAACCTAAACTTGGACCAAGAGACAGTCGTCAGAACAGAGGAAGGAGACACTACATGGTTCAAAATCAAGAAGGGGGTCGGTCCTTCAGGGATGTATTCTCTCTCCAAACCTTTTCAACCTGTATGCAGAACAGACTATCCAAGATGCTGGGCTGTATGAGGAGGAATGTGGCATCAGGATTGGTGAAAGAGTCACCAACAACCTGTGTTATGCGGATAACACAACCCTGCTTGCTGAAACTGAGGAGGATCTGAAGTGCTTCCTACAGAAGGTCAAGGATTGTAGCCTCCTCTATGGATTGAAGTTCAACATCAAGAAAACAAAGATTCTCACTACTGGGCCAATTGGCAGCATCAGTATAGATGGTGAAGAGATTGAGATAGTTAACAGTTTTCGTTTGCTTGGCTCCACAGTCAACACTCGTGGTACAAACAGCCAGGAAATCAAAAGACGAATTGCATCAGAGAAGTCAGCTGTGAGGGACCTCTCAAGAGTACTGAAGAGCAACGATGTCAGGCTAGAAACTAAGGTGTGCCTGATCCAGGCTATAGTCGTTCCAATTATGTGCTATGCATCAGAGAGTTGGACAGTGAATCAGGATGACAGAAAGATAATTGATGCCTTTGAGCTGTGGTGCTGGAGAAGAGTATTTAATATACCATGGACTTCTAGGAGAACAAACAGGTTTGTCCTGGAGAAGGTGAAGCTGGAATGCTCTTTAGAGTCAAGGATTTTGAAGTTTCGTCTGATATACTTTGGGCATGTTGCAAGGAGGGGCTGGTCCTTGGAGAGGGACATCATGTTTGGCAGAGTGGAGGGGCAGCACAGGAGAGAAAGACCTTTGATGAGATGGATTGATTCTGTGACTGGAGTGGTGGGAATGAGTGTGTTTGAGATGGCTAGGTTGGCACAGGATAGAATGGCATTTAGGGCTCTTGTACATAGGTTCACTATGAGTTGCAAGCGACTCGATGGCACATAACAACAACAATAACAGAAGTAATCTATAACAAACAACAACATTCTATTTAAATATATATCATTATAATCCAATGTATCTTAACTCCTGCATACATCACCCAAAGTCTTGGTCTACATCCAAATAGATTACGACCATGAAAGCCCTATGAGTCAGTTCTGCTCTGTCCTCCAGGATCGCTGGGAGTCAGAATCTGTTTGGTGATGACAGGCTCAGGTATACATCACCAATGAGTGTTTGTTTATTAGTGTAATCCCATTCTTTTTGTTTTGTTTTGTATTGTGATTTTAATGACAGTTTCAAAAAAGGATGAGTTTTCATTCATTCATTGATACCTTTTCCTCCTTACTTAGTACCCTGACCAAATTTTCAAGCTGTCTCTAAGTCCTCACTTTATTTCCTTTCCTAGTTATCTCCAGCTTATGTTTCTTTTCCCTTTTCATTCCATAATTCTCTCATTCCTCTCAGTTACTCTGTGCAGTTTTTCTTTGTGAAAAGGACAGAGTTAATGCACTGTATTCTTAAATGCTTAACATGTTTAACTTGATTTTTTTACATAAAACACATTTTATCTTATAAAGAAATCTACAAGGATTGCTTAAATCAGTGCACTTAAAAGAAGCCTCTAGCTACTAGATCCAAGATCATGCTTTGAGTAGCAAGAGTTTAAATGACTCTTTTGAAGGGTTCTATAGCACAAGTGTAAATGATATCTTATAATAAATACACCCAAGTGATATGAGGTATAGTAAATTCTTGGTTTCCAAGGTTTTTCCTCTCTCCCTCCTTATTGAGCTGGGTTGTAATATGGAAGAAGTGTCTAAGGCATTTATGATTCCTTGAATAAATTGATTTTCCAAAGCTGTTGCTTACCTATAGTACATGCAATCTTTCCTCTGTGTCTCTCAGGCTGGTACAACCGTCTGTACATTAACTTCACATTACGTCGCCACATCTTCTTCTTCTTGCTCCAAACTTATTTCCCTGCAACCCTGATGGTCATGCTGTCCTGGGTGTCCTTCTGGATCGACCGCAGAGCTGTGCCTGCCAGAGTACCTTTGGGTAAGGAGCATCTCAGTTACACATTCTATGTAGCTAAAAACAAGCTATCCTTCCAGAGAAAACTATTCTTTTCAAATTGGCACTATATTCAAATTATATAACTTGAGAAATGTTCATACCTGCTCAAAGAGAAAATAAAAGAGCAGATCTATTGCCAATAAATTGATTCTAACTGAGGGTGGCCCCAGGTGTTAAAGAGTAGAACTGTTTCATAGTTTGTTATTTTTTTGTTGTTGTAATCTTTAGAGAAGCAGATATCAAGGTCTCTGTTCTATAGTGCTGCTGAGGAGGTTTGAGCCACCAAACTCTAGGTTAATAGTTGATAAAAAAAAAAACAAACCCATTTTCACCACCTGATTAACCTGAGTCACAGATAAAAATCTCACAAATAAAAAAAAAATCATCTATATAGCAACGTTGTTTCCAGGTTCCAATAGAAGCCAAACGAAAGAGCCCACCTTTTGTCTTGTTAGAGCAGTATTGTGTATATGGGATAAATCTGATATATAGAAAGGAAATCACATTCTATAATAAGATTCCTCAAAAGACCTAAGAGATCTGTGCAACAGACTTTTCCAGAGAAATTGGAAAATGTTCTCATTTCAATAAATAAAAATCAGATCTTATAGATTTAATTCTATAAAAATCAGATTCTCTGAGTGAGGCTTTGGAACCTATATTTTTAACAAGCTCTCCCACTACTTCTTATACTACTTAAATCATTACTCTATGAGCCCTTTTCTCCACATTAAAAATTACACCCACTTAGTCACACACACCATTATTGCTCAGACAGGGCAGGAGGTCCAGCAACAGGCAGACCCATTTAGGTTTTAATGAAACTGTATTAAAGCTGGTCCTTAAGATGGCCCAAATCCTCTGTAGTTTGATGCTTGCCAAGCAAATATTTTAAGCTTAATTTGAAAGCCTGGGAAAATTTCCACTGACAGATGTCCTGTCCTTTTACAATTATTAAGTAAATGTTCAATTCACTCAAATAACAATAAAGGTAAAAATAAAATAAAACAAGTAATAATTTTGGTTTTAAAGATGAGTCTTCTATAAATGAGGTTAACATTGTCATCCTTGGTAAAACTGACCTGGGTCCTCAAAGTGGCATTGCTGGGTGAACAATCAGGTGGCTACACAGGCTACAGTGCTACAGAACATGACAACTGTAGCAAAAATACAATCATTGAAATAAATAAAAATGATAAGTTGTTAGGTATTGGGAATCATAGATAAAGGTATTTGTACATATCTATAAGGGAGCTATGGTGACTTAGTTGTAAGAAATTGCACTGCTCTCCCAGTGGTACGTGATTCAAATCCACCAGCTGCTTTGCAAGAGAAAAATGGGCAATCTCCTTCTTTGAGATTTTACTACCTTTGAAAACCTGCTGGAGGGTCATCTATGAATCGGTTTCCAACTCAGTGGTACACAACTGCAATATATAAATAAGAGATTTATAAAAATAAATAAATAATATATAAAATAATAACAGAACTTTGGTAGTTTAGTGGTAAGGAGTTGTGCTGCCAACACAAAGGTAGACAGTTCAAATCTATCAGTTGCTTCTCAGCAGAAAGATGGGCAATATCCTTTCATGAAACTTACAAGCCTCTGAAAACCCACTGGACTTAGTTATGAGTCAGTTCTGATTCAGTGGTATACAACAACAATATATCTCTAAATCTACCTCTCTAGATCTATATATATGCTCATATCTGCAAAATTTTGAAACAAGTGAATGAAAGTAAATCTCATAATACCAAAAAGTCTGAGGTTCTCTGCAGAAGGATAAAAGGAAACAGATGCTAGGATGTCTATATACAGCATATGAGGTAGGTAGAAGAAGTATGCAGGAATAGAAAAAGCTTCAAAGAAGCTAACCGTTGACTAGTAGTTTGCTAGACAGAGGAGCAGGAATAGAGACATGATAGGCAGCGGGAGCAGTAGGGACAAAGAAGCAGAGACTTGAAGCAATCCAACATGTCTAGTGAAACCATGCAAATGTTTGCTTCTTAATATACTTATGTGTTTGTTCTTTAGGTAGCACCACAGTGCTGACAATGTCCACCATCATTACGGGTGTGAATGCCTCCATGCCTCGTGTCTCCTACATCAAAGCTGTGGATATCTACCTCTGGGTCAGCTTTGTGTTTGTATTCCTGTCGGTGCTAGAGTATGCAGCTGTCAACTACCTGACCACTGTGCAGGAACGGAAAGAGCGGGAGCTTCGGGAGAAGGTGATTCAATTGGGCTCAATAGGTCTCAAGCCAGGGAGAATGCCTAATCTTCTCTGTAAAATAAGAATAACAAAAGCTTCTCTCTTTCATTGTGAAATCTACTCTGGACTATATCTGTCATTCACTGAACTATTACTGTATCAACTACTATATTACCAAGGAGCCTTGGTGGCCTAGTGCTTTGCATGTTGGACTGCTTACTGGAAGATCAAAGTTAGAATCCACCAGCTGCTCAGAGTGAGAAAAAAAGACAGCCTCCAAGATTTACAGCATTCTAAGTAGATGGAGGGGCATCATGAGTCAGAATTGATGAAAGGGTAATAGGTTTGATTTGGGGTTTACCATATACCAGGAGCTGGTAGGCCAGATGAGTCAAGATATGGTTCCTTTCTTTCTTTCTTAGTGGTGTTCATAGTTTAGTGATGGTATCCCAGGATAAAAATCTATGACAATTCGCTAAATATTTGGAGACAAACTATCACCAATTCTACTAAAATTATTGCAAAAAAAAAAAAAAATAGAAAAAATTGGAACATTCTCATTCTATAAAACATAACCCTAACACCAATAATAGGTAAAGACTTTACCAACAAAGAAAATTAGAGACGAGTTTATCTCATGAATAAAGATGCAGTAATCTTCAATAAAATCCTGGCCAACAGGATCTAACAATAAATTATAAAAATAATAGTCATAAGAAGCTCTGGTGACCTAGTGGCAAGAAGCTGCACTGCAATCCTGAAGGTTGTTGTTATGTGCCATCGAGTCGCTTGTGACTCATAGCGACCCTAGGTAGGTGGTTTAAATCCACCAGATTCAATCCCCTCCTGTGCCAGTCAGATCCGGTTTGACAATATACAACAATTTTTTTTAAGACATTAAAAAAATAATCATGACCAAATGGGATTCATAACAGGTATGCATGGATGATTCAACATAAAAAAAATTCAACACAATTCATCATATTGACAAAGTAAAGATCAAGAACCACATGATCCTATAAGTTGACACAGAAAAGGCCTTTGACAAAATACAACACTGCTTCCTTAAGACACTCAACAAAATAGGAATTGAAGGGAATATTGTTAACATAATGAAAAGTATATACGCAAAACTAAGAGTCAACAGCATTCTTAATTAAGAAAGTCTAAATACATTCCTCTTCAGAACAGGGACCAGACAAAGATGTCCACTTTCACAACTCCAATGCAATATTGTATTTAAATACTTGCTAGGACAGTATGACAAGAAATGGAAATAAGAGATATCCAGATGAGGAAAGAGGTGGTAAAACTCTTGTTATATGCAGATGATATGATAGTGTACACAGTGAACCCCAAGAACTCAACAAAAAACCTGGTAGACTTAGTAGACCAATTCTGTAGAATGGCAGGATATAAGATTAATATACAAAAATCAGTGACCAATTCCATAGAATGGCAGGCATAAGATTAATATAAAAAAATCAAGTGGGATTCCTCTACAGCAACAAAGAAAACACAGAGGAGTAAACCAAGAAAGCAATACCATTTACAAAAGACAACCACAAAAAAAACCCAAAACAAAAAACAAAAACAAAAGAACCCCACTTGAACAGGCCCATCACAAAAGAAGAAATTGAAAAGGCCATAAAAAGACTTCCCCATATGAAAAATCCTGAACCAGATGGCTCACCAATTCTACTTAAATTATTTCAAAAAATTGAAAAAGAAGGAACACTCCCTAAATCATTTGATGAAGAAATCATAACCCTAATACCAAAACCAGGCTAAGATATTACCAAGAAAGTTAACTACAGACTACTATCTTTCATTAATATAGATGCAAAAATGCTTAACACAATCCTAGCCAATAGAATTCCAAAAGCACATAAAAAATAATTCACTATGATCAAGTGGAATTCATAAGAGGTATTCAAGAATGATTCAACATAAGAAAAACAATCAATGTGACTCACCAATTTAACAAAGTAAATAACAAGAATCTTATGATCCTAGCAATTGAGGCAGAAAAGGCATTTGACAAAATCCAGCATCACTTCCCGATAAAGACATTCAGCAAAATTGGAATAGAAGATAATTTCCTTAACATGGTGAAAAGAATATGCAAAACCAAGACCAACACCATTCTAAATGGAGAAAGACTAGGAAAATACTACAAGAGAAGAAAATAAAAGGCATCCTGATTGGCAAAGAGATCGTTAAACTGTCGCTATATGTAGATGATAGTGTACACAGAAAACCTCAAAGATTCAATAACAACAACAACAAAAAACAGAGTTAGTAGGGTAATATAATAGAGTGGAAGGATATAAGATTAATATCCAAAAATTAGTGGGATTCCTTTACAGTATCAAAGATAACTCAGAGAAGGAAAGCAAGAAAGCAATACAATTTACAATAGCCAACCACAAATTGAAATACTTGGGAGTGAACCTAATTAGAGACACAAAAGACCTATACAAAGAAAGCTACAGAACAATAAAAGACTTAAAGAAATGGAAAAATGTGTCCTGTTCATGGATAGGGAGACTCAATATTGTGAATATGACAATCTTACCAAAAGCAATCTACATGTTCAAAGCAATCCCAATACAGATACCAAATTAATTTTTCAAGGAGATCAAAAGTGAAATTATTAAGTTTATTTGGAGAGGCTAGAGACCCTGAATAAACAAAACACTTTTGAGAAGCAAAAATTATGTGGGAGGCATAGGACTTCCTGACCCCACAGTAATAGGAACCAAAACAGCATGGTATGGTACAATGACAGGAACATAGATCAATGGAATAGAATTAAGACCCAGAAATGGACCCAGCTATCTATGTCAACTGATATTTGACAAGAAAATAAAACTTATCAAATGGGGAAATGACAACCTCTTCAACAAATGCTGCTGGAAAAAAAGTGGAAGCTAGAGTGGCATTCACTTCCTAGATAATGTACATCTGGAAATTCTATGTTGGTAATTATAGAAAGGCTTTAGGCCTTTTGTTTATAGGGTCTTGTGAGTCATGCTTAACTCAAGGGCAATCAGCAAACCTGCAGAAAGCTGAAACAGGATCCACAACTTACTCCACACACAAATAAACTCAAGGTGGATCAGAAACCAAGGCAGATCAATAAAGCCCAAAACCATAAAGTTCATAAACAAACTGGGATCAAACTTAGATGGCCTAGTCAACTGTATAAAGATAGTGCCAAATACAGCCAGAAATGCTCAATCTGAAGAGGATAAAATTAATGAGTATGACCTAAAGATTAAATCCCTGTGTACATCAAAATCCTTTCCAACAGGTTGAAAAGAAAACCTACCAACTGGGAACAAACATTTGGTAATACCATCTCAGACAAACGTCTCATAATGAAAGTTTAAAGATACCATCTCACTCCAGTAATGTGCCAAAGTTAAACAGGACAGCAAATAATAATTGTTGGAAAGGTTGTGGCAAGATAGGAACTCTTGGTCAGACGAGTATGTAGAGTCTGAGCTGGGGCACAGCAAAGGGCAAGGATTACTACCTCGGAAGAGATCAAGCGGGCTTACCGCCTCCAGGTGGCTGCGCTACCACCTGCACAAGAACCCCAGCGCCAAGGAGAAGTTCAAGGGGATCACCAAGGCCTGCGTGCTCAGCAACCCGTGCAAAAGCTAGATCTTCGACCGCTAAGGGAAGGAAGACCCGAAGGGTAGTGGTCCTAGTGACGGGGAGGGGTGGGGATGGGGGGTTAAGCAGTGGTGCTAAGGGGACCTCTTTCAGCTACACATTCCATGGAGACTCTCATGCTATGTTTGCTGAGTTCCTTGGTGGCCGGAATCCCTTTGATAACTTTTTTGGGCAGCAGAACTGGGAAGAAAGCATGGATGTTGATGACCCGTTCTCTGGCTTCCCCATGCACATGGGGGGCTTCATCAACATAAATTGTGGCCGCTCCTGCGCCATCAGGAGCCCGCCCTAAAGAAACAAGACCCTCCTGTCACCCACGACCTTAGGGTCTCTTTTGAAGAGATCTACAGCAGCTGCACCAAAAAGATTAAAATCTTTCACAAGTGGCTGAACCCCGACAGAAAGGGCATTCGCAACGAAGACAAGATCTTGACCATCGAAGTGAAGAGGGGTTGGAAAGAAGGGACCAAAACCACCTTTCCTAGGGAAGGAGACCAGATCTCCAACAACATTCCAGCGGACATCATCTTTGTTTTAAAGGACAAACCGCACAACATCTTCAAGATGGCTCTGATGTCATTTACCCAGCCAAGATCAGCCTTCAGGAGGCTCTGTGTGGCTGCACGGTGAATGTCTCCACTCTGGACAGCAACACCATACCCATAGTCTTCAAAGATATCATCAGGCCTGGAAGGAGACGAAAAGTACCTGGAGAAGTCCTCCTCCTCCCCAAAACGCCAGAGAAACAGGAGGACCTAATTATTGAGTTTGAAGTGATCTTCCCTGAAAAGATTCCCCAAACATCAAAAACTGTACTTGAACAGGTTCTTCATATATAGGCACATGCATTCCCCGAGGACTGGCCAGGGACCTTTCAGAGCTCAAGGATTTCCAAATCATTCCACCAGGGTGGGCCCACGAGTGGGAGGGAGGGCTTTTATACTACTGAATGTTTTCCAGAGAATATATTATAATTTTTCCAAAGTCATACACAGACTTCAGTGATTTTTCAAGCTATAGGGTGGCAGGGGGTGGGGACAGCAGGAACAGGTCCTCCTATCTTTCCTGTGGGCCCTGCAGCTCTCTCCGTTAGCATCTTCCGTCCCCATCAGGGCAAGAGGCCAGCACCCAGTTGGACCCGAGTTCTCTGTAGTGATTTTGCTTCCCTCCTGTTTCCTGCTGTCTTGGTTACCAGACCCTACGTATTCCTCAGTGTCTATTGTGTTCTCAGTTTGTATTTTATTCTGTGCTGTCTCCCACGTCTTGCTCTTCCCCTACAGAATCCTGTCTTTTTTTGCCATCTCAAATTGAGAACCTAGACCATTTCTGTAGAACTGCCAGCCAGCACCCACAAGCAATACCTCTCACTCCAGCAGGAGCAAGGGAGCCCACCTCACAACCAGCGATTTGTACCATAGCCTCCTTGGCAGATGTAGGGGTCCTGGGACTCTGGCACTGGTGAGGCCAAACATGTTGACACACTTGACAGAGTCACACTTTTCCTCTCTCAATAAGGTGCTCTTTGGACCCACCGTGGCTTCCTAAGAGCTCGGGAATTTTTTCCTTCTCGTGAACTAAGGAACTCTGGGCTCATTTTCAAGGGGATATGATCCTTTTGAATTATGCACAGCCCTAGATGTAATCCCTTTTGATAAAAGGGTGTTTGCTTCTGATTTACAGGAGCACTGTGGAACATCTGTAAATATGTTTTTTATAATTTCATGTTAAGTTGGTGTGCCCACAGATAAAGCCAGTCCAGGACAGCCGCTGCTCTCTGGAGGGGACCATACTGAAGTCTAGAAGGACCTCGAGGGTTGGGGGAGTTGGAGCAGAAATCTGTTTCTGGAGGTCATTTGAGCTCAGCCCTTTGTATATTGCCACTGCCAACCCAAGAATTAAACCTATAACTTGTCATTGTGCAGCGCAAAGGCATTAAAGACTGATGCAAAACCTAAAAAAAAAAAAAAAAAGATAGGAACTTTTATACACTGTCGGTGGGATTATAAAATGGTATAACCATTCTGGAAAGCAGTTTGGCATTTTCTCAGAAAGCTAAACAGAAATTTCATATAACCCAGCTATTCCACCGAGAAAATGAAAATTAAGTCAGAAATGAAATATGTACACCAATGTTCATAGCAGCGTTATTCACCACCTCAAGAACATGGAAACAGCGCAGACGTCCAATTACAAACGAATGAATTGAGAAACTATGATACATTCACGATGGTATACCACACAACACACAGGGAGGAATGATTTTGTAAATTACTACCTAACTTGGGAGAGACTGGAGAGCATTATGCTAAGATAACTCAGTCCTATAAAAATAAATACTGTATAAAATCATTACTGTAGAATGAGTATGAGGATCCAAGGCAGGGTGGAAGCAGAGGCATGAGAATGGGCAGGTTAATTGTAGTTTTCCAATTTAATGAGGTGGGGGTGAAGGAAATTGGAAAGGTCTGGTGTGAAAAACAATGCATTCAAACTTTGTTAATAAACCAGTAAAAACATTTGGCAATGACATCTCAGACAAGGGTCTCATAACAAAAATTTACAGAATACTACAGGGACTCCATAAAAAAAAGACTGATAACACAATTACAAAATGGGCAAAAGATACGGAAATACCTTTCACAGAGGAAGAAATTAATACAGCCAACAGACACATGAAGAAATGCTCAAAATCAATGAAAATAAGAGATGCAAATCAAAACCACAGTGAAATATCGTCTCGCTCCAGTACAATGAGTGGCAAAGTTTAACAAGACAGCAGGAATAAATGTTGGAGAGGGCGTAGAGAGAGTGGAATTGTCATACACTGTTGGGATAGTAAAATGGTGCAACCACTCTGGGAGCACTTTGACGTGTTCTCCAAAAGCTGAACATAGAGATTCCATTAGACCCAGCTAAACCTATCCAAACTGTATGCTTATCAAATTATCCAAGAAGCTAGACTCTCTGAGGAGGAGTGTAGCATCAGGATTAGAGGGAGACTCATCAATAACCTGCATTATGCAGATGACACAACCTTACTAAAAGAGAGGAGGGCTTGAAGCACTTATTGCAGAAGAGCAAGGAATGTAGCCTTTGGTACGGATTGCATCCCAATATCAGGAAAATGAAGATTCTTAACTTTGGACCAAATAGGCAGAATCATGATGGATGGAGAAGAGACTGTAAACAGCTTCATCTTACTTGGATCCACAATTAACACCGTTGGTACGAGCAGTCAGGAAATAAGGATACATATTGATCTGGGAAAATCTGCAGTTAGGGAACTTTCTAAATCATTGAGGAATAGTGATGTCAGTTTGAGGACAGTTTTTGAGGTCAATTTAATGTGTGTCTGTTTTAGGCCTAGTCTTTCCAATTACTAGCTATGCAGCCAAGAACTGGACAATGAATAAGGATGACAGAAGTAGAATTGATGCCTTTGAGCTGTAGTGTTAGAGAAGAGCACTGAACATCCCATAGACGGTCAAGAGAACAAACAGATATGTCTTGGAGAGGGTGCAGCCAGAGTGCTTTTTGGAGGCAAGAATGATGAGGATACTTTGGACAGGTTGCTAAGAGGTGCTAGTCCTTAAAGAAGGACATGATGTTGGAAAAGGTGGAGGGTCGGCAAAAGAAAGGAAGACCCTCAACCAGATGGATTGATACAGTGACTGCTGCAATGGGTTCTTGTGTGTCAAGACGTGTGAGGCACAGAACAGAACAGGGTTCAGATCTTTTGTTCATAGGATCGCTATGAGTCATGCTCGACTCGACAGAACCTAACAACAACAGCAACAACATTCCACTGCTAAGAATATACCCTAAGGAAAACTGAACTGAGACACAAATGGAAATTTGTATACTGATGTTCATAGTAACATTATTCACAACATCAAAAACATGGAAACAGCCCAAATGTCCATCCACGAATCACTGGACTTAGAAATTGGGTACATTCACACAATGGAATACTATACAGCACTCAGGAACAATGATTTTGGAAAACACTATAAAACATAGGAGAGGCTAGAGAGCATTATGCTGAGTGAACTAACTTAGGCGCATAAGGACAAATACTGCATGAGACTATTATTGTAAAAACAGAAGGATAACCAGTAAGATGTGAATGGATATCCAAAGGGAAAAGGGGAGGGAGCAGGAGGACTGAAGATGGGGTGGAGAGGAAGTCATGGGGTTGCAGGGTCCAGTGGGAGCAGAGAGGGGGGTGAATTAATTAGAAAAGATCTAGTGGGGATCTGAAAATATGGCGATTAATTTTATGAAACATAATATATGGGAATTATCATAAGAAATGCAATGTGAATAAAAGAGCAAACTAATAATAATTTTTAAAAAATTAAATAAAATAACAGAGGTGTACAGAGGAAATTCAATACCACTTTCAAGTAATGGGTCAAATTTTGAACTAAGAGATGTAATAAAAAGGAAAGCACATCTTCCATTCTTCCATTCTAAGGTACTTCCGGCATACTTGACCCAAACACATCTCCCATTGTTTTCCCTTCATTCTTGCAGGCTTCAGGACAATGAGTATATCCTCCAGAAGACACTAAGTTATTAGAAATAATCTAACCCTAGATTTGGAGCTGTTCATTCTTCAAGAGAAGATGGGCAGTCTCCCCTGGGGAGCCTAATGGGGAGTTTGCTGAGTCAGAACTGACTACCTTTGAAGTGGGTTTGGTTTGATTGTGGAGTTGAAGTAAGAGGGCCTCAGCCTTGGCACCTCATAGGCCTCTCTGCTGGTCAGTGCATAGGCTTGTCTCTCTTTTTGGCTGAAAGTTGACCCACAGGAGTGAGTTTTGTTTCAGGTTTGAATGAAATGTGATTAAAGGCTATAGTCTTAGTCCATTCTCTTTTTGGACCATTAAGCCCAGCCTTTTTAAATTTTCGTGTTTTGTTCCATATTTTTCTGCAGTCTATCCAAGATCTTCTACTGTGATCCGTTTTAGAGTGGTCAACAGTGGTAGCAGGGCACCATCCAGATCTTCTGATCATAGAAATTGAGGTTCTGGAGGTCTATTAGTCTTGTGCATTATTAGTTGTTTCTATACATCTTTTCTCCCTTTTCTTTGTTCAGGGTAGAGAGAGACCAATAGTTGGTCCTTAAATGACTGCTTATGAACTGTAAAGTCCCAAGGAGCCACCTACTCACCAACATAGGATGTAGATGATGGCATTAGTGGACTGTTACACCAATTGGCCTTGATGTCCCAAATACTATGATTTCAGGGCCTCAAGACCATAAACTCATTCTCTCAGGGGCATTGGTTATGATTAAGTTTATACAGCTTTACCTCCTTTTGCTTAGATGAGTACTTAACCATCTATGCCACACAGGCGATCTTATGTAGGCTTTAGTTAAACAAAAGTTAATATCTAATATTTTTAACATATTTACAGTGACACAACCGTTAGTTTTCCACCTCTGCCCCTAACTAAGGATAAAAGAAATTTGAAAAAGGCAACAGTATGCTGTTTCTCTCAAAGGGCTTCTCCAAGTGGAACTGAGCTCCTAGCTCTATTTGTGTTTGTTTGCTCACAGCTTCCCTATGCCTGTGGCTTGCCCCAGCCCCGAGCGATGATGCTGGATGGCAGCAACAGCGATGTGGAGGTAAATGACCTGGGAAGGTACATGCCTGAGAATGGTGAGAAGCCAGACAGGATGATGGTGCAGCTCACCCTGGCCTCTGAGAGGAACTCCCTGCAGAGGAAAAGTCTGAGAAGCAGCTATGTGAGCATGAGGATTGACACTCATGCCATTGACAAATACTCCAGGATAATTTTCCCAGCAGCGTACATTTTATTCAATGTTATATACTGGTCTATTTTCTCATAGATGCCTGCAATGCTATACATTTCACATTCTTTAATTCTTCATGGTTTGTACTGTAGAAATACTTCAGTGATGAAAAATAATATTATAGTTTAAAAAAAATCTATCCATCCATGTTTTTTCACTGTCCCTTCTCTAGTTTTCCATATCTATATGGCCAAGATACTGACTGGTTTAATTTGCACTTATGATCTATCTATCTATCTATCTATCTATCTATCTATCTATCTATCTATCTATCTCTATCAGCATTCTGATAGATATTATAGTACTATGATCTATCGGTATTGCATTAGGTGTTTCAGGAATATGACACCATAACAAGTGATAATAGTTACCCATATTCCCTGAAAAATCAATCTGTGAGTTCAACTTCCTTCAGGTCCTTGATACATATTTACTTGAGTAAATTTCCTTTGAGTCTCTTTATATTCTTTGGAGTAGGTGGATTTGGGAAGCACCTAAATAAGAGTTCGTTGGTATGGAACATAAATGCACTGAAATTCCCACTGATAGAAATTTATGCTTCAGTGTATTACCAACCACATGTTTCTTTACATTTAATAAACAATATTATTCATATTTTTGTTTATGTTATGATTCTTAAGGTTTCATCTCCTATGGTCTTCAGTCATTGGTGTTTAAACGTCAAATCTGTTCTTTTTTTTAATTGATATTTTAATGAAAGTTTATAGAGAACTTTGATTTCCATTCATTTATTGTTGCACATTTTCCTCCATGCCCCTCCCAGTTCACTTTTTTATTTGGAAAAAACAATTCTCTCATTGTTATACAGTCCCCCCTCTTCAAGTCCACCTTACCACGCAGCTCTTATTCTGAACTCTTGTCCAATGATAATAATAATAATAATGCCAATAATACCTAATCATGTATTCCTTTTATACAGTTCTGTCTGTTTCAATGCCATGCACACTGTTTATCCCCTCTCTTCTTAGTTTCCCCTAACCTCCATGTCAATCCTGTTTTATAACAGTGGTATCATGCAGTATTTTTCTTTTTGTGACTGAGATATTTCACTCAGCAGAATGTCATCTGTGACCACCCATTTTGTCCATAGTTCATGAGTTCTTTGTTTTTCAGTGCTTCATAATATTCCATTGTGTGAATATACCACAGTTTCTCTATCCATTTGCTTGTTAATGGGCACTTGGGTTTTTTCTAACTCTTTGCTATTGTGAACAAAGCAGCAATAAACATGGATGTGCATATATCTGCTTAGGTGACGGTTATGATTTCTTTAGGGTATATTTCCACTAGAGAAATTGTTGGGTATTGTTGGGTATTTCTATTTGCAACTTTTTGAGAAAGCACCATACTGCCTTCCATAGTGGTTGCACCATTTTACACTCCCTCCAACAGTGAATAAGGGTTTCCGTTTCTCCACAACCCCACCAGCATTTGTTGTTTGCTGCTCTGTTGAATTTTGCTATTGTTACTGGGGTGAGATGATATCTCATAGTTACTTTTATTTGCATCTCTCTTAGAGCTAGGGATTTTAAACATTTCTTCATGTGTTTGTTCACCATTTTCATTTCTTTGGTAAAGTGTCTGTTCATATCCTGTGCCCATTTTGCAATTGGGTTGTTGTACCTTTATCTTGTTGTGGTGCTCGAGTATTCTATAAGACATGTCATTACCAAATATTCTTTCCCAGTAAAAAGGCTTCCCTTTTTACCCTGTTGGAGAAGTTTTTGATGTGCATGGGGATTTGATTCTTAAAAGTTCCCATTCATCTACTTCATCCTCTCCTGGTTGTGGGCTCAAACCTGTTCTTTTTTTTTTCTTTTTTCAAACCTTAAGATGATTTTGCAGAAATTGCTGTGTAAATCCAGCTGGTTGAGGATCTTCCTCTCCTTCGTTGACTCTACCTTTCTGAGCACCATGACATTCTCCAAGGAATAGCCTCTCCTAGCAACATGCCTAAAGTATGTTTGGAATTTGGAAATAGTCCAATTTTTTTATAAAGACATTTCAAGAAAATACATAATTTAAAATTGCCTGTTTTTCAATTAATTGAGAATATTATCATGATTTCTGAAGAGAACATACAAACACATTACACATACAAAGACAAATGAGAAAATATGCACCAGTTAGCTGCATTCATTCATACATGAATGCTAGTATTTTCTAGGAGGCAGATGACAGTCATTATCCAGACTGAGTAGTCCATATGCCAGGCAGAACCATGGCCCAATGGCAAATGGCATCAAAACATGGATCAAAGGAACTGGTTCTAATTTAATATGGTATTTCAAAATAAAGTTATTTGTATCTTGTATGTATAGAGCTCATAACTACCAAACTTATCCAAATAACATTTGTCTTGTATAGAAAGATATTTTCTACACAATTATGTAATTTTCATAACAAAGTTAACTTGACTGTTAGCAATACAAAATAATGTCACACTAAGTAACATGCAGCCTTCGATATGTATTGAAGCTCAACATCAAGAAAACAAAGATTCTCACCACTGGGCTAATTGTCAGCACTGATAGCTGGTGAAGAGATTGTTAACAGCTTTAGTTTGCTTGACTCCACAATCAACACTCTTGGTACCAGCAGCCAGGAAATCAAAAGACCAATTGCATTGGGAAAATTTGCTATTGGGGACCTCTCCAGAGTACTGAAGAGTAATGATATCAGTCTGGAGACTAAGGTACTCTTGTTCTAGGCCATAATCTTTGCAATTGCTTGCTATGCATCAGAGATCTGGACAATGACTGTGGTGCTGGGGAAGAGTGTTGCATCTATACCATGAACTGCTAAGAGAACAAACAGTTTCATCCTGAAGAGGGAGAAGCCAAGCTGCTCCTTGGAGGCAAGGATTCTGAGACTTCGTCTGACATAATTTGGGCGCGTTGCCAGGAGGAACCAGTCCTTGGAGAGGGACGTAATGCTTGGAAGGGTGGAGGGAGAGTGCAAGAGAGGAAGACCTTGGATGATATCAATTGACTCAGTGACTGGGGTAATGGTAGAAGGTGTGTGTGAGATAATAAGTTTGGCACAGGATAGAGCAGAGTTCAGAGCTGTTGTACATAGGGTTGCTAAGAGTTGTAAAAAACTAGATGGCACATAACAATGACAACAACAACAACAGACAAAAGTGACTCCCAGATAGTTGATGAAACATTTTTCTTATCAATCAAGAACATATTTTTATTCATTCATTCAACAAACAATATTGAACTGTGTTATAGACTAGTCTTTGATTGGATTTTACATAGGTGAAATTTCACTGATAACTTTAAAAGTTTTCAGTTCATCAAGCTTTTAGATAATGGGACTTTTTAGAGTGGAAAATGTGTCACATATTCCAGGCCTTCCCCTTCAGCCCATGCTCCAAAACATGGACTTGTAGGTTTTAAATATGTAGCCAAATCCTGTGTGAGGATATAATCACTATCACAATAATTCATGTACCTACTAACAATGTTAGAGCTCTGGTGTGGCCTATAGAATAAGAGCTGCACTATCAATCCAAAGTCACATGGTTTTGATCTACCTAGCTGCTCAACAGGGAAAGATGGGAAATCTCCTCTCAGTCCATTTATAGCCTGCTAAACTTCTATATTTGACTACATACAGCAACAACCCACTGCTGTTGAGTCAGTTACCACTCACAGAAACCTCCCATTGGCTCTCTGAGGCTATAAATGTTTATTAGAGGAAACTACCCATATTCACAGAGAGAGAGAGAGAGAGAGAGAGAGAACAGCTAGCTCATGGAGTTGAACCACTGACATTTCAGTTAATAGTCTAATACTTTATATAACATGCCACCAGAGTTTAATTCAAATGCAGAAATAACAATTTCATTTTTATGTTATCAAGAACAACTGTGTTCCAACAATTGAATTTCAAGGATTGTTAAGTATGGGAAATTCTAATACTTTCATAATAATAAAGTACATTGATCAATTTCAACATCAGTATTTTAGGATAACATCTATTTAGTTCACTCTCAAATTAAATGGATGTTTTCATTTTTAAATTGCATATTCTGAATTTAATCTATTCTCTTTAAATGTCTTTTGTTAGTACAATCTGTAGTAACAAATTATGTCAGAGCAATGTTGTCAGTCTAGAGGCTATGGTGCACCTGAACCAGGCCGTGGTCTTTGCAATTACTTGCTACAAATCAGATAACTGGACTAAGGATGACAGAAAAAAAATTGATGCCTTTGAGGTGGTGCTAGAGAAAGTCTTGAACATATCATGGACCACCAGGAGAACAAATAGGTCAGTCTTGGAGAGGTTGAAACCAAGTTTCTCCTTGAGCCTAGCATTTTGACTCTAGCTCACATACTTTGGGCACGTAGCCAGGAGGGACCAGTCCTTGGAAAATTACATCATGTGTGGATGGATGGAGGGACAGCACAGGAGAGAAAGATCCCAAATGAGATGGATTGACACAGTAAGCAGGCCAGTGGGATTAAGTGTGTTGTGAGTCAGTGAGACTGGCTCAGGATAGGGCAGGTTTCAGAGCTATTGTCACAGGCAACTCAACAACACATAACAACAACTGTACATGGAAGAAGAAATCCTTCTTTTGAGATGAGTATTTTATAAATAATCTCTGGTTTACTCAAGGACAATTTTTTATATGAATAAATTTCTTTAAGTAGATTTTATAACAAAATTCTGTACTCATTTTGCTCTCTATTGCTTATCCTATATGAACTTAAAATTAAATTATCCCACTATACCTTGTAAAGGAATTCTAGGTCTCTTTCTTAGAGCCTTGGCAGAGCAGTGGTTAAGCATTTAGCTTCTAATTGAAGTCTGTAATTTGAAACTTTAAGCAGCTCCATGGGGGAAAAGATGTGGTTGCAGTCTGCTTCCACAGATTTCACTTTAGAAAACCCTATTTGGTAGATCTGTCTGTCCTATAGCATTGTTACATTACCGCCCCATTATCATACAGTTAATTCCAACTCAAAGAGACTCTGTAGAACAGAGGAGAACTACCCATAGAGTCTCCAAGGATAGGATATCACAGCCAATGTTCAGATCTGTTGTTCATAGGGCTATGAGTCATAGTTGACTAGACAGTAACAACAAGAAGCATATTAACAGAAGCAGATTAACACATTTCTCTTCCATGGAGAGGCTTATGTGTTTGAAACAAGTTATTCCTTAGCAGTCAGGTGACTAGCTACTGTGCCACCACTCC